CCGGCCGCCGTGACTCAGCTAACGCCCGAGTCCCTTGCAGTTCTGGGAGGTGATCAGCGACGAGCATGGCATTGATCCCACCGGCACGTACCACGGAGATAGCGACCTCCAGCTGGAGCGTATCAACGTGTACTACAACGAGGCTACCGGTAAGACTTGTCTGCCCGTCCATCCTCCCGACCGCCCCTCCGGTTTGACCACGTTTGACGTCCCCCTGTTTCACCAGGTGGCAAGTATGTGCCTCGTGCCGTGCTCGTGGACTTGGAGCCCGGCACCATGGACTCAGTGCGCTCCGGGCCCTTCGGGCAGATCTTCAGACCAGATAACTTCGTATTCGGTGAGTGCTGCGGTGGGGGTGTGGGTGGAGCTTGCTACCCGTGGGGCTCAAAGGTCAAGGGGCTGACGCTGCTGACTAGCTGCCCAGGTGTAACACCTTCCTGCCCGCTGAGTCACACAATCCCTTGATTGAAAGCAGCTTGGGAAGGTCTAATTGTGCGGGTAGAGTGAGCGAGCAAACCTGACCTGGTGGCAGGGGTTCCCTGTGCTGTATTTGAATATTGGCAGGGATGCCTAGGGAAGTATTTACTGTCCTAGCTTGGCGTTCTCCTACCCTTATTTATTTTGCATGGCGGGTTGCTGTGGTGTCACCAGGGGTCTCTTGACTTTTAGAGGTGACAACCCCACACCCTTTGGCACCATAGGCACATGACGAGTGAGTGACCAGCTGTTTTCTTTTACAGGTCAGAGTGGGGCTGGGAACAACTGGGCCAAGGGGCACTACACAGAAGGCGCAGAGCTGGTTGACTCAGTGTTGGACGTTGTGAGGAAGGAAGCTGAGAGCTGTGACTGCCTGCAGGGCTTCCAGCTGACCCACTCCCTGGGTGGGGGGACTGGGTCTGGGATGGGTACTCTCCTTATCAGCAAGATCCGAGAGGAGTACCCTGACAGAATCATGAACACCTTCAGTGTGGTACCTTCCCCCAAGGTGTCGGACACAGTGGTTGAGCCCTACAATGCCACCCTTTCAGTACACCAGCTTGTTGAAAACACAGATGAGACCTATTGCATTGATAACGAAGCACTCTATGACATCTGTTTCAGAACCCTAAAGCTGACCACACCCACTTATGGTGACCTGAACCATCTAGTGTCTGCCACCATGAGTGGGGTAACCACATGCCTGCGATTCCCTGGCCAGCTAAATGCTGACCTGAGAAAGCTGGCTGTAAATATGGTGCCCTTCCCTCGCTTGCACTTCTTCATGCCTGGCTTTGCTCCCTTGACCAGCCGGGGCAGCCAGCAGTACCGTGCCCTGACAGTTCCTGAGCTCACCCAGCAGATGTTTGATGCCAAGAACATGATGGCTGCCTGTGATCCCCGCCATGGGCGCTACTTGACAGTGGCTGCCGTGTTCCGGGGCCGCATGTCTATGAAGGAGGTGGACGAACAGATGCTTAATGTCCAAAACAAGAACAGCAGCTACTTTGTTGAGTGGATTCCCAACAATGTGAAAACAGCTGTCTGTGACATTCCACCTCGGGGCCTAAAAATGTCTGCCACCTTCATCGGCAACAGCACGGCAATTCAGGAGCTGTTCAAACGCATCTCAGAGCAGTTCACAGCCATGTTCCGACGCAAGGCCTTCCTGCACTGGTACACGGGTGAGGGCATGGATGAGATGGAGTTCACCGAGGCTGAGAGCAACATGAACGACCTGGTGTCCGAGTATCAGCAGTACCAAGACGCCACGGCTGAGGAGGAGGGAGAGTTTGAGGAGGAGGCAGAAGAGGAGGTGGCCTAGAGCTGTTTTAAGCAGCCTAAAGCATGGGAGCAGTGTGAACTCTTTATTCATTCACAGCCTGTCTGCTAGCCATGTCCACTGTGCATTTGCTGTCCTGTCCTGACATCACTTGTACAGATACCACCATTAAAGCAATTCATAGCATGTGGCCTCGCCTCTCCAGTTCCTTCTGATAAGCTTTTCGGGTGCTGTTACCGAATGTCAGTGCATAGTTGTCCTGCATGGCTACAAGGGAGAAAGAAAGAAGTAAGCTGAGTTCCCAGGATTAGCACAGTGGAGAGGTCAGTGCAGGCTACTTAACAGCAGCTTCTCTAGGATCTTGAGGTTGCCCTTTCACATAGGCATGGAGTAACCTTGCTGCCTCTGTTCTGTTAGTTTTAACGGGGGAGGGCTGGTGATACCGGTATTGACTGGGTAGTTCAAGATGGAACTGGGACTCTGGTCAGGGGGCCAACAGCTGATTATCAACAACTGTGGCAGGTAAAGCAGGATCACAGCCATTTGACCCTGTTCTGTCATAGGTTTGGTGTGTAGTATAACCTTGTCCTTTTGAAGTGGGTATGGGTACTCACATGGGATGAAGCCCATGTAGAAAGGAATCAGGCCTTGGCTTCTGTAGATGGTGTTGTTTGGCCAGTGGGTCTTGGGCAGCCTTTCACCCAGAGCACAGACTGGGTTTCTGAACGTGAACTAGAGAAATGGGTATGTGCTGACAAGGGCTGTTTTCCCACATAGGTGACTAAGATCCTGCTTTAGGAGTTTTGACTGACCACCCAACAGCCCCACCTCCCACCTCTTATCCAGGATAGGTAATCAGACCTTGTTAGGATGTGGAGGCCTTAACCCTCAACAAACTTGGCCTTAATTAAGGGTGACCCCCCTGGGAGTGGATGCTTACAGGTGGGAGTGGAAGCAGATAGAGCCTAGCTGAGGCACCTGGAGGCAGGCTAGGCCCATGTTTTCCTACCTGGTTCTTGTCAAACTCATCCATAGCTTGTGTGACTCCATCACGGTAATTCATCCCCATCACCCAGGCAAACCGGGGGACAAAGCCAGCATACCCTGGAGATGGGTGGGTGTCAGGGTTCTTCCCTGGCTGCGTTCCGGGCATAATCTACATTCTGCCAGATGTGTCAGAAATGCTGAGCTCCTTTATCCCTGAACATTTAGCTATTAAGCCCCTTCCATCCCTAAAGGTTGGCTGCTGACTCTTAGGGCCAAACTTAACTCCTCATGGGAGCAGCTGGGCTGGCTCAAGGAAAAAAAGTGAAGCCAAACCCTGTTCTCACCATCTCGTTTGGACCCTTGGAACCTCATGGAGAATATCTCAGGCACCCAGCACGTACCTGAGATGGCCTTGCGTTGGATTAGGTTGGGGTGGTCTAGCTGGGGTAGTCGCTGGAACCTGCCCACATCTAGTGTCTCCTGCGGGGGATGTGGAGGCAGGCACTCGTCCCTCCTGTAGTGGTATAGCTGGAACAGGGAAGTGTAAAGTGTAACACAGCTTCTGCCTGGGTGTGCTGGGGGAAGACGGAGAAACCCAGGCCAGGGTGTCTCCACTTACCTGGTACTGCCCTGGGGTCTCCTTAAGAGGTGCTGCATTTTTCCAGGCCTCTTCCCCATATGCCAGCAGTAGACCTGGATGTCCCAGGTCTCTAGCTTCTCCCTTTCTGCCCGGAGGGAATGGCGGGTAGGGGGGATAAGGCAGGAAGTCTGCAGACATTGGAACCTCTCTGCATATGTTCTCTACTTGTGGCGGCCCCTGAGTGTCCACCTGGCGTGGGACCTGGCCCAGGATCTCAAAATTCTTGTGGGGTTTCAGACCTATACAGACAGGGCAGTTCTTGAGCCATACAGGAGGAGGGTGGAGACCCAGTGGAGGCAGGGCTGGGTGGGGTCCTGCCTCCTTCAGGTCCCACCCTGGACCTGAAGCTCACTGGTATAGTGGGGGATGTAAGGCTCTGTCAGGTCCCTGCAGGGAATCCATGGTGGCTTAGATTTGCTGAAGTCTTCGATGAACTTGGGCTTGGACATAGGTGACAAAACAGAGCAGGGGCTCTTCTGTACGCTGGGATCTGTGAGCAACTGTGCAGTGGTGCGGCCATAGGTGTTTCCCACCTGGTAGCGCAGTTGAGGATAGAAACCAGCATAGCTGTGGAGAGAAGCAGGGGAGATGCCACTCCTGCCTATTAATTAGCAGGCATTTAACCTGGCCAGGCAGGTTACCTGACCTCTGCTCACTTTAGATGAAGGTAATGGAAGGACCCATTTTCTGAGACTCCTAGAGGGTAGCATGTGCCAAATCTGACAGTCACCAGGTCTTCACTGTCATCACTGCTATCAGATTATCCTCCACAGTGGACCCATACACCCACCAATTCTCTCATTCTAAGTGAATAGGTGCTTTGCCTGCATGCATGTCTGTGTACCACATGTGTGTCTAGTGCCTGTGGAAGTCAGAAGAGGGTGTTGGATCTCCTGGAACTGGAGTTATAAATGGTTGTGAAGCTACCATGTGGATGCTGAGAATTGAACCTCCCTTCTCCGCAAGACCAGCAAGTGAGCAGAGCCATCTCTCCAGTCTAGCACCCAGCCATTCTCAACACTCCATCCCTCACCCACTGATGCCTCCAAAAGCGACCAAGTTGAAAGGAGGTATAGGTCCTTCCATTTCCCCTATTTTATGTGCTCCCATGTAGCACTTGGGTCTGGGTAGGTATACACACACACTTTCTTTGGAGGTTTTTTATTTTATTATTTTTCAGTGTTGGAGATCAGACTCAGGACTTTGCATATGCATGCTAGGCACCCTACCTCTGGATAGAACCTTGTCTGTTTTTGTTTTTAACAGGACTACATTTATTCCATCTCAAATTACCTCTTCCTATGGAGAGACAGTCCAGCATTTGCTTATCTAGTCTCTGTCAAATTGTTTGGCTGCCATAGTTTTTGCCTTTGACAGACATTCTGACCATCTAGTACTGCATTCGGGATAAGGCCTTCACCTGCAGCTCACCTCAGGGATTTCCTGTTCCAGAGCTCTTTAGCCCTGGTGTTCTATTCCACTACTTGGTAACTCTGGCTTTGGGTTTCTTCAGCGTTGGTCCTCAGCCTCCTGTAGACTAGGTTAAACCCCAGCCCTACTGCTCATCCCTCTTTCCCAACCCCAACCTCTCTGTAGAGCTCCCAGCTCTTACCCAGGGATGTAGTGGGGTTCTGGAGTGAAGAGGTTGTGTTTCTGAGTAGCTGTCATTTGCTTTGATTCTGCCCTTGCTGGTTCAACCCTTTCTGGTCCACCTTCGTTCCCTGAAAAGAGACCTGTTGCCTGGTAACCATAATGAAGGGGCCAGCATTATGGACCCAGCCATCTATTAACCCTGTGAGTGCTCCCAGTCTCACAGCATCTCTGGTTCAAAGAACAGCTAGGAAGCTGTCCTGTGCAAGGCAGGGTACCCTAGAAGGTAGCCCCATTCACCCAGAGCTCAGGAGCCAGAAACGGGAAGGGACTCCCACTGCTCCCCAAGACCCAACTGATAAGCAGGCCTTATTTCATGGTGGGGCTCTTTACCCTAGTCCTCCTCCACTGAAGAAGTCAGCACTGAGTCAGGTTTCCCAGATGACAGCTGTATGGATTGTCCAATAGAGTTGTTCCCCTGTAGTAAGACATTCATTTCTATACTTAATAAATCCTCATTCTGTTTTTTAATGTAGAAAGAACTTTCAGGTCTGGAGAGATGGCTCAGTGGTTAAGAGCATTGGCTGCTCTTCCAGAGGACCCAGGTTCATACCTGTCTAACTCCAGTTCCAGGGCTTTTGATGCCCTCTCCTAGACATCTATGCAGGCAAAACACCAGTGAACATAAACTAAAAATTTTTTAAAAGTTTCCTTTGGAGCTAGTGAGATGGCTCAGAGGTAAAGAATGCCCGTCATGAAGGCTGACAGACTGAGTTCAATCCCAGGAACTCACCAAGTGAGAGAACCCACTCCTAAAAGTTGTCTTTAACACACTCCAGCAAATAAAACCCTATTTAATAAAAAAAACCCTTTGCTTTTTGCAGATATGTGCAGACAGATTCATATGTGCACAGAGTCCAGGGGTCGTCTTCTATTGCTCCTCTAACACTATCAGTCTTGTTTTCTTTTGTTTTTCTAAAGATTTTATTTATTATGTATACGGTGTTCTCCATGTATGTCTGCATACCAGAAGAGGGCACCAGATCTCATTATAGATGGTTGTGAGCCACCATGTGGTTTGGTTGCTGGGAATTGAACTCAGGACATCTGGAAGAGGGATTGATGCTCTTAACCACTGAGCCATCTCTCCAGCCCTATTAACTTAGTTTTCTAAGGCAGTATCTCTCATTGGTATCTGAGGCTTTACTGATTAAGCTAGGCTGGCTAGCCAGTGAGTCCAGGGAGCCACCTGTTTGTGCTTCCTCAACACTTGCTTTATAAAATAATTTTTTATTGTGTGTGTACACAAGTGTGTATTATGGCACTCCTTTGGAGGTCCGAGGACAATTTTGGGGAGTTGGTTATCTCTTCCACCATGTGGGTTCTGGGGAGTGAACTCAGGCTTTGGTGGCAAGTACCTTTATCCACTGAGCCAAGACAAGCCTTTTATGTGTGTGTGGTGATTCAAACTAAAGTCCGCACTCTTACACAGAAAGCACAGCAGCTAAGCTCTCTCCTTAGCTCATAGAAAGAACTTTATAACCATAAAATTGAATATATTATTTTTTGATTTATTTATTTATTACATATACACTGTTCTACCTGCATGCCAGAAGAGAGCACCAGATTGAATTGTAGATGGTTGTAAGCCACCATGTGGTTGCCGGGAATTGAACTCAGGACCTCTGGAAGAGCAGTCAGTGCTCTTAACCTCTGAGCCATCTCTCCAGCCCAAAGTGAATATATTATAAAGGGGGGAAATTATCACATTCTACTCCCTGTCAAATGAGCATAAACAATAATGGACAGCTGACTAACATTTGCAACAGCTGTTATGAACAGATAAAAGACTTATGAAGGGTTAGAGAGATGGCTCAGAGGTTAAGACTGCTCTTCCAAACCATCCTAGTATGACTTCCAGCACTCATATCAGTCATCTTGTGACTACCTGCAACTCTAGCTCCGGGGTGAATCCAACACCCCTGGCCTCTGTGGGTACCTGCACTCAAATGCACACACCTACACACAGACACAGTTAAAAGTAGTAAAGGTCACTGGGCAGTGGTGGTGCACACCTTTAATCCTAGCACTGGAGAAGCAGAGGCAAGCAAATCTCTGAGTTCCAGGCCAGGCTGGTCTACTGGACAGTCAGAGCTACACAGAAAATCCTTTCTTGGAAAACCCCAAATAGCTTGGCAGTGGTGGTGCACGCCTTTAATCCCAGCACTCTGAGTTCGAGGCCAGCCTGGTCTATAGAACGAGTGCCAGGATAGGCTCCAAAGCTACACAGAGAAAGCCTGTCGAAAAACCAAAAAAACAAAAACAAACAAACAAAAAAACTTATTAAAATTACATTAAATTATTAAATTACATACTTAAATTATTAAATTAAATACTTATTAAATTACATTAAAATTACATTAAAAAACATTAAAAATTAACCCCCAATATTCAAATGCAAATATAAATACAAATGCTTGAAAATAAAACAATCCCACAGCCTCTAAACACAAAGAGATATAGTTGTACCTGAATCAAATAAATGCTGATCAAATGCAGGTAATGACACTTTCTAATGTAGGTTACTGAGGTACACCTTCTGGAGCACAATTTGCTAATATAGATCAAGTCTAAGCCGGGCGTTGGTGGCACACGCCTTTAATCCCAGCACTTGGGAGGCAGAGGCAGGTGGATCTCTGTGAGTTCGAGACCAGCCTGGTCTATAAGAGCTAGTTCCAGGACAGCCTCCAAAGCTACACAGAGACATCCTGTCTTGAAAAACCAAAAAACCAAAAAAAAAAAAAAAAAAAAAGATCAAGTCTAAACAAGATACTGCTCCCACTACCTTAAAGAAATGCTGTGAAACTAATAGCCAAAGATAATGGTGATTGTGGTGGGGACTAGAGAGGTGTGTTAGCAGCTAGGAGCACTTGATATTGTAGAAGATCCAGATTCAATTCCCAGCACCCACATGGTAGTTCACAACCATATGTAACTCCATTCCACTTCCAGGGGAATCTGATGCTCTCTTCAGACCTCTATATACTAGGTTTGCATGTGGTTCATATGCATAGATGTAGGCAAAACACACAGACACATTAAATAATTCTTGAGACAAGAAAAGATAATTTGTGAGACCATCACAACTACATCTATTTCTTTCTTGCTTGCTATGTAGCCTAAGCTGGCTTTGAACTTGTAGCCATACTCCTGCCTCAACCTCCCAAGGGCTGGGGTTACAGGTGTGGACCACCATGCCCAGCTCCACAGCAATATGAGTGTGTATGCTGGCGGCCTGAGGCTGATGTTAGGTATTTTCCTCAGTTGCACCCCACCTTATGTTTCCTTCCTTCCTTCCTTCCTACCTTCCTCCCTTCCTCCCTTCCTTCCTTTCCTTTTTTGAAATACGGCTTTTTTTCTCACAGAATTTAGAGTACATCAGTTCAGTTCTCCACCTTATGCTTCCTTCCTTCCTTCCTTCCTTCCTTCCTTCCTTCCTTCCTTCCCTTTTGTGAAATACGGCTTTTTTTCTCACAGAATTTAGAGTACATCAGTTCAGTTCAACTGGCTGGACAATGAACTCCAGGGATCTTCATCTCCCCGTGCTGGGGTTGCAGAGGCATATACCTAGATTTTATGTGGAGACTGGGCATCCAACTCAGGTTCTCATGATTGCATGTCAGGCACTTTTACTTATTGAACCACCTGTAGCCCCTCAGCACTATTTATTGCAGGGAGGAACTGGAGTCACCTAAATGGCAACAAATGCTTCCTCAGAACCCTACACACCAAGTACCTTAACACCATAAATTATGTTCTCAAAGGACACTGTACAATGCAGGAGGCGGCTCTGGGCAGCCTGTGATCCCTTTGTCCAATCAAACTCGTTTCCTCATGTCTCCATCTATCTATCCAGAGAAGTGTCAGTCAGGGAGAGATCCAGAAAGGAAGAAGCCCAGTCACGGTAAAAGAGTTGGAGGATGCTTTGTGGATAAGGTAATTTTTGTCTGAGAGCTGCCTTGGAAGGGTTGGGGCCAAGGTCAGGGCGGGGACAGCCAGACCAGCCAGTATCAGAGGCCACTCTGCAAGGGCCTTAGTGCCCAGATGGGTTCTTGCTCCTTCAGGCTCAGTATTCCTTTCTATATTGTCTAGACGCAAGCAGCCCAGTTCATCTAATATGTTCTGGCTTCTGTCCTCTGTGCCTTCAGGAAGAGGCAGAAGACAAGAGCTAATAACTAGTCCTGCCTGTACTGGCCTGACTCGGAAGCCAGGCTGAGTTACTTTGTTTTCCCATGCCAGGCTTCACTGCAGGGGCAGCAGCCCTTCCCCTTCCTCCTGACTGTCTTTCTCCTATTAAATGGCCCTCACTCACACACCTAGCCATACTGCAGGACTTGGCATATACTCACATGCCCTGCCCCTCTTCTGGGGCCCCAGACCTCCCAGCAGTACTGCTAGAGTGAACTCAAGCTCCCAGGAGAGGGAAAAAGGGTTGGGATAGGTTAGAGCCTGTTTTGACCAAAGCTGACCTGGGTGACGGTCTCAGTAGGTAGGGAGAGGGGCAGAGGATGGAGGCCCTGTAGGAGAGTCCCTCCTGATCTGACAATGTTCCTTTTTCTAGGGACTCCCCAGCAACAGAGGGGAGGGGCATGACCCAGCAGTGAGGTCACAGAACCCAGCAGTGACCTTTGGCAAGAGAGCCCCAAGATCCAGAATGAATTTTGACCAGAAAGCTGTGAAATTCTTAGCAAATTTTTACATCAATGGAGGCAAACACTGGACTCGGGGCCCCTTGAGTCAGCAACCTCTTCATCCCACCCAGTAATTTCAGAGGGTGGCAGACAGGTGGGGACTCAGGTGGAAAGACCAGGACAGGTGGACAGTGGTTGTTGGCTTCTTTGCAGGCCTGAGGCTGCTGTGCTATGTTGGGACCAGGAGCTGGGGGCAGCCTGTGATGAGATGTGGCCCCCAAAGATGAGGAGGGCCCCACGTGGCTTCAGGTTTAGAATGGGCACCCCCAAACAACCCACAGGGACCCTGAGGGAGCTGTGTGAGTGAGATTCTTGGCGCCCACCCCAGGCCAGTATGGGGAGGGATAAGGTGAAAGCAATTTTGTGGGAAGAAATGGGTCTAGAGTTTGCTTTTTGCACCAGTGCTGGAACAACGCCCTCCGATCATGACTGACCTGGATGTCCCTGGCCCCACCAAGTATGGGGTGCCCAGTGCGTCTCTGCGGGAGTCCTCTCCACACCCCCAATACACCATGGGCCACAAGTACCCTGGTCGAGGTGCATGTCCCCACAACCCTGCCTAATCTTGGGGAATGGGGGCCTCCTGCCCTGAAGACCTTCCCACCAACTATTCGCCCCACTGCAGAGGGTGGTGGCCGCAGGGCATGGCAGACCGAGTGGCTCCAAAGTGAAAGCCCCTTCACGCAGAAGACTGACTTCAATCAAGAGCGAAAGGTAGAGACACTGTGGGCCAGGTAGAGGAAGGGTGGAAGAAGATGGTTAGGGGCCGCCTTGCGGAAGGTGGGGTTGTTGCAGGTGAGGAGGAGGCGAGGGAAGGAGGGGTCAGGTGGCTTGCGGGAGGGGCTTGAGGGAGGAGCTACATGGCTGGGCTTGGTGATGGGCGGAACCAGGGGTTCAAAAACAAAACCACCGGTCAGGCCTGGAGGATTGGGTAAAGCTAGGTAAGGAGGTTGTAGCCTCGGGTCGCATGCTGACTCCTTACAGTGGCCATCGCCCGCCGAGTATAGGCCGCTGAGCCAGCCTGCCTTCCCGGCCTTCACCTTTGGAGGCCGCCGCCACTCTCTTGTCAAGATACCCGAGAGTCATTTACGCCCAGGGATGCTCCGAGACCGAGCTCCTGCCTCCTATACCCCACTCATGGCTCCCCAACAGCCTTCTGGTGCGAAGCGACCTAGCCCCAACTCCTATGACATCGTTCCTGGGTGCCGTCTGCAGACTACACGCTCACCTGCCTTCTCCATGAGTCGCTCCCCTGCGTTTGCTTCCTGGGTCAGCTCCTGTAAGGAGGCCTAGGAAAAGAGGCTTGGCCTGCCTGAGGGTGGAGTGGGGTTTGGGCTACATGGCGAGGGGGGATGTGGGAGTGAGAACTAGGGTCAGCTCGCTCTCTCTGCAGCCCGAACCCCAGGTCCTGCTGCCTACTACGTGGAAGACTGCTACAACTCACGATTCCCATCTTCACCTGGAGTAGTCATCCAAGGAGTGCGCAGACCCAAGCGTCATGACACAGGCCCCTTCTGCTCACTGTAGGCCCATCGGGAATAGATTGTAAAGCTGACCTCCCTTAAGGTTTTCCTAGGCTTCTTTTGGAACTCTTTGTCTGCAGCCTGGCCTTATGACCCTCTAGACTCCCCTCACCTACTCTTCTGGCTTATGCTGTGCAAAAAGAAGAGTCTTCCCAGAGCCTTCCTCCCCCCACTATACTGAGATGCAAATGATTCTTCTGAACTGTGGTCTCTGGTGTGCCTGGTTGCCCATCCTTTGTTCAGTGGGCCGTTTTGAATATGTGGCTTCCTGCTTCCCTGGTATTGCTGGCTTTCTCTGATCCTGCATGGTGCTCTTTTCTTCAGGGTTGAAATGGTAGCCTGGGAACTAACTGTAACCTTCCTGACCTAGGATAGAATAGGAAGAGAAGTCAGGCAGTGGTGGTGCAGGCCTTTAATCCCAGTACTCAGGAGGCAGAGGCAGATGGATCTCTGAGAGTTTGAGGCCAGCCTGGTCTACAGAGAGAGTTCCAGGACAGCCAGGGTTGTTACACAGAGAAACCCTGTCTCAAAAAACCCAACAAAACAAAGACGTACATCATTACTGAGTGTGGCACACGCCTTTAATCCCAGCAGTCAAGAGGCAGAGGCAGGGGATCTGAGTTTGAGGCTAGCCTGGTCTAAATAGTAACTGTCTCAAGGAAAAAAAAATACACCATCAAGCCCAAACCAGAACTCACTTAAGAAGTGATTTCATTTTATGTGTATGAATGTTTTGTCTGCATGTATGTCTGTATACCACATGTATGTCTGGTGCTTGTGGAGGTCAGAAGAGGTAGGACATCAGATCCCCTGGAACTGGAGTTATGGATAGTTATGAACCACCATGTGCATGCTGGGAACTAAACCCAGGGGGATCTTTGCAACAGTAACAAGTGTTCCTCCAGAATTTTGTTTGTTTTTATTATTATCAACATGTACCACCACATTCACAGGGAAGTCAGAGAACTAGAACAATGACAACTCTAGAGATCCAACTCAGGTCTTCAGACATGTCAACAAGCACTCTTACCCACTGAGCTGCCAAGCCATCATCTGAGAGCTTGCTCTTGCAGTTTCTGCCCCAGCTGCTGCCTTGGTGTCAGCACCACCCACTTTTGCAAAGTGGAAGCCTTGGACCAAGACTCCAAGTACCCTATGTGTGTATCTTTTGATTGCATCAGGTGGTGGCTGAACCAAAATAACCTGGGGAATTGGGGACTTTTACCACAGGGTCCTACATGGAGCTGCTGGCAAAAACAGCGGCACAGGTGTGCAGCCCTGGCCTTAGGAACTTAGCCTCAGTGGGAATAGGCGCTCTGTTTATAGCCACATCACCGGGTATGCTAGTGTTAGACATTTGAACAGAAGCCTTCAGTAGCGGGGAGGGCCCCACAAGAAGTCTGCCTTGGTCTTCCTAGAGGAGGCAGTAAGAGAAGCAGCTTCCAATAGGCAAGAATGTGGCAGGGCAGCAGGGAGGGAATTTGTAGCAGAGTAAATCTCAGCAGCAAAGGCACATGAAAAAAGATGGGTGTGGTGTTTGGAGGTGCGTGCAGTAGGCTGGTGGGATAAAGGGTAAGAGTTGGAACAGTGGGGAGGCTGCGGAGAGCTGAATGCTGAGCCCAAGAGCTCACACACCAGACAGCTTGAGAGCCCTTACAGTCAAGTTAGCCCCTTTTACTGCCAAGGATAAGGGACACTGTGACCTGGACTATAGCTCAAATCTCAATCTTTGCATGCCCACGATGAAGCTGTAGTTCCCACTACATACCCAGGGCTCTTGCAAAGCACCCTTGGCACCACTAGAGACATATTCAGATTTCAGTTCAAATGAAGGCAATGGTGGGAGCTTTGTGAAGATTTCACCTGTGGGCACAAGTAAAAAAATTCTCAACATCGAAAGAGTGCTATATCGACAGTCATGTAAAAATGTACTTGGATACAAGTCAGTTTTGAAATTTATAAGGTAGGCGAGGCCTGCTACCACCCCTCGCTGCTCCTCTGCTGGCTCAGAGCATGGATTCTGGTGTCTAGAGCGCAGACGAGGTGAAAAGCGGATTTCCTGACACTGGTGGCGGCTGGAGTGGCCAAGGCCTCTCGAGAGGTGGTTGCGTCATCCCGACTCCGCCCCTTGCGCACAGTCTCATTCTTACTGGGTAGCAAGTCGCTGCCCGGAACCTGCGCGTGGTGGCGGCGTTTTCCCGGGACCTATTGGCTGCTGGACCAAGGCAGTGAAGGGCGGAAGTGGGAGGTGTGGGCCGGTGCAAGCGGCTCTGCTGAGGCGATCTGGCCACGCTGGAGGCTGCGGGCGAGCGGGGTTCGGGGGGCACCCGTGGCACCGTGGAGAGGGCTTCTGGCGCTCCTTCAGCGTCCTCGACGGCTCCAGGGGAGCGTGGCGGGGATGGGGTACACAGCCGGGCGGCAGCCGGAGCCTCGGCCATGTTCGCGGGGCTCCAGGACCTGGGCGTGGCCAATGGCGAGGACCTGAAAGAGACCCTGACCAACTGCACCGAACCGCTCAAGGCCATTGAGCAATTTCAGGTGGGCAGGAGGGGCCCGGGCCGCTGGGGGAGCCGGACACAATTCTGCTCTCTCCCTGCGCTTGGATGGAGGCACTGGAGGTCCTGAGCTAGGAGCCCACTGAGTAACTGCGTGTTTTCCCCCTTTTCGAGGTTACCACCGTGGACCTGTGTACTCAGGGCATCCGTGGTACCTGTGCTGAGTTGGCTGCGGCCAAGCAAAATGCGTACGCGTTGACCCTCTGCTTTCCCAGACAGAGAATGGGGTGCTGCTGCCCTCCCTGCAGTCGGCCCTGCCCTTCTTGGACCTACACGGGACCCCGCGGCTGGAATTCCATCAGTCAGTGTTTGATGAGCTACGCGACAAACTGCTGGAACGAGTGTCAGCCATCGCCTCTGAGGGAAAGGCAGAGGAGAGGTGGGTCTCTACTTTGGAGCTGCTTATCCTTGTGAGTAGCGTTTATGCCCCCCACCCCATGGCTGCACAGTGTGCTTGTAGATACGACCTGGAATGTGTTGGAGGAGATTCCTCTGTATGTCCTGCATGTGGAGACCCACTTTCTCAGCTGTGCAAATCTGCCCAGGTACAAGAAGTTGGAAGACCTTCTGGAAAAGAGCTTTTCTCTGGTCAAGATGCCATCCCTACAACCAGTGGTGATGTGTGTTATGAAACACTTGCCCAAGGTGAGAGCTGTGAAGTCAGCCCTCGCAGGGGAGGTCAGTGAGCCTGTGATACATACTGCTTGTCTAGCCTGCCCCATGCGTGTGATTGGTGGAGGTCATCTTAGCTCCTGGAAAGTTTTATGGACTTGCCCTCCAGCAAGCTCTGGGCACCTTCTCTGTATCACAGACTTCCCCTGGATGAGCCAAGTGGAAACACGCTTATCCCTCGAGTCGGAGGGTGGGTCTTTTCTGGGAGAGGTCTGTAGGGATTCTGAATGTCTGTATTCACCTGCTAAGATTTGGAGGTCCATCACAGGTGCCTCTGTGGCTGTGGCTGGGCTCTACAGGTTCTGTAGGCAGCTGAGGCCTCTCGGCCTGTGCTGAGGGAGGCTTGGGGACACAGGCACCACTTGCAGGGAGCTGTGGTGTTTGCTATGTAGGTTCCTGAGAAGAAGCTGAAGCTGGTGATGGCTGACAAGGAATTGTACCGAGCGTGTGCTGTGGAAGTGAAGAGGCAGATCTGGCAAGACAACCAAGCACTCTTTGGTGATGAAGTCTCACCGCTGTTGAAGCAGTATATCCTGGAGAAAGAGAGTGCGCTCTTCAGCACAGAGCTCTCGGTCCTGCACAACTTCTTCAGCCCTTCTCCCAAGACCAGGCGCCAGGGAGAGGTGAGGAAGTCAGGGTGAGGGTGATAACTCCCAGGATGTGGCCAGCTCCTCCCTTGCCTCTTCCCTGAGAGTATGTTAGTCTGTTTCTCTAAGCATGAGCTTGTATATGTAACTGGGAAAAGGTTGGTTGGCAGAAGGTTGAGGCAGGAGGATTGCTGTGAGTTTGAGGCCCATCTGAGCAGATACCCTCTCAAAAAAATAAAAAAAAAACCAAAACACTGAATTCAACTTTTTACCTATTATTTTTTTTACCTGTTACTGATTTTGGCATTTTAAAAATTCAGGCCTGCCGTAAGTGGCTTATTAATTCATTTTTGAGACAGGATCTCATAATGTAGGCTTGTCTGGTCTGAAACTCCCTATGTAGACTAGGCTGGCTTTGAGCTCACAGAGATCCACCTGCCTCTGCTCCCAAGTACTAGGATTAAAGGTGTGTGCCACTACCCATCGTCTTGTCAGTTCTTAAATCAAGACTTTAGCTTAGAGTAGCACTTGTTTGTAGAAAGATAAAGTGAGTTATATAAGTCATTCAAATTTTCCTAGTTTTTACTTTGACAAAAGTAGATGAGGTCATTTTTGATGTTTTCTTTAGAGTAGCACTTGTTTGTAGAAAGATAAAGTGAGTTATATAAGTCATTCAAATTTTCCTAGTTTTTACTTTGACAAAAGTAGATGAGGTCATTTTTGATGTTTTGCCTTAACCTAATACATTCAAGGTTTTGTCTTTCAACCTGTAATTGACATAAGCCATTATTTAGCCATATTGCCTTCATTCCAGGAGTTACCAAGTTTGAAGTCTGGTGAGCTTTTTGAGCTTATGGCATATCATTTGCCATGTTCCACAATGAAAGAGCCTTGTGTAGCTCATGGCTCTAGTTGGGTTTTTAAGGCTCCACCATGGGTATTGGTGGTTGCCATGTAGGAGGGACTTGTGGCTCTTGCCATTCCTGCCTTTCTTTCCCTGTGCTTGCTTATTCTTTCCTAAACAGCCCTCTTTGCTTTGTTGTCAGGCAGAAGAGGCTCCCTCTGTTCCCCAGCCTTCTCCCACCTCCCGTGTCTTCTAGTGATTGACCACAGACAGCACTGATTTCTGACTGTTGGAGGACTGCCTGACTGACCTTGTCTTGGGCTGATTTTTTTAAAGTTGTATTTTTTTTTTTTTTCGTGACAGGGTTTCCCTGTGTAGCTTTGGAGCCTGTTCTGGAACTAGCTCTTATAGACCAGGCTGGTCTCAAACTCACAGAGATCCTCCTGCCTCTGCCTCCTGAGTGCTAGGATTAAAGATGTACGCCACCACCGCCCAGCTAAATTGTATTCTCATGTATATAAGCTCAAATGGAAAACAGTCCCGAGGAGTAGGAAAGTATGTAGGTACAGAATGGGAAGATGCTTTCGAGGTAAAATTATTTGCAAGAAGACCTGAGTTTGAATCCCTAATACTCATAAAGAAGTCCAGGGTGGCCACAGGTTCCTGTGACCCCAATGCTGGAAGGGACAAGGCAGAGTCAGAAGAAATCACTGGGCTTCCTGGCCTGCCAGTGTAGACAGAAACAAATAAAACCTGTTGAGCTGCAGGCTTAGTAAAGGATCCTGTCTCAAGTATATAAGGTGGCGAATGGTAGAGCATGTTTTTGCAAGTGTGGGCTCAGGTGTACACACTTTCCAGTTGTCTAGCTGTCTGTCTAGTGCCCAGTGATATGCCTGCTCCTTCGTGGTTCTTCTGGCTCTCTGATCCACTGGCCTTCTTGGCTATCCTACTTTGACAAGTCAGGCCACACTGGGTCTGATTTAGCCCAGTGTCCTGTGTTGAGTGGGTTATTCTATTCTTCAGGCTTCCTTTCCTTTCCTGCATTTCATCCTTGTTTTGTTGGAGGATATTACTCTTGGGATAAGCTTCCAGAGCTGACATATCAGACGCTGTTTGGACTTTTGAGCCAAGTGGCTGGATTTAGAATTACAGTCCAAAGTGTCAAAGATTTTTTGTGATGGTCTCTGTTGTTTCTGCTGATGAGTCTGATCTATGGCACTTTGATGCTGGCCTGTTTTTCCTCTTGGAAACTTAACAGAGTCTGGTAAGTGCTCTATGATTTTACAGCACTGCGGACATCAGGCTAGTAGGTTCCCTTTCAGTCTTGGCTGTAGGATAGCTGTCTTGCCCATAAGCAGGTAGTCTGAAGCTGGTCATGTGTGAAGCAGGCACACTCCATGTCAGGGTTAGATTGTCTCTGTGGTCTGTACCTAGTGAATGAGGGAGTCTTGGGCTATCCACATGGCTTGAGATAAAGATCCAGATCAGTCCAAGAGTTCTCAGCAGGGGTTTTGGAGAATGAACTACCAGACCAACCACTGGCTCTTGCCACCCTCCTTTCTCCTTCATTACTATCTATCCTGATGCCTTTGGGCTTCCTGTGATAACTTCACCTTGTACTAACCCCAAATACTTCTTTGTACCATAGGCCTGAGACTCAGTTAACCATGGCCAGTTAGCGGCTGAGCAAAACGTGTTTGTATTGGCTGAAGCCTTTATATTAAGCAGGACTGTGCAGTTTGCCATTTTCGGTTAGATGTAAGGTGGATGACACCTGCCAAAGGGTAGGCACTGGTGTTCCTTCATGGCCCTTGCCTAGAGTACAAGGTAGAGCTGAATGCCATTGTTTGTGCTTTGACCTCAGGCACCCTGGTACTAGTGTTGGGACAAGGGTGGTCACAGCCATAAGCTTGGGAAGGAGACAGGGAAGCAGAGAGCCCAGTGTGACCTCGTAGGCCTTAACCTAGGCCCAGAGGCAGTGGCATTCATTATAGCCTGAGCTTCCTGTGTTGGGGCTCTTTCTTCAGATGGGTTCTCAGCACTGCTTCTAGGATGAGTCACCTATCCCTCAGACCAAGGTATCTCTGGATTAAATGTGGAGCTACCACTTTTTTTTTTGTTGTTTGTTTGGTTTTTCAAGACAGGGTTTCTCTGTGGCTTTGAAGGCTATCCTGGAATTAGCGCTTGTAGACCAGGCTGGTCTAGAACTCACAGAGATCCGCCTGCCTCTGCCTCCTGAGTGCTGGGATTAAAGGTGTGTGCCACCACCGCCCCGGCATGGAGCTACCACTTTGAGTAGCAGAGTTGGCCTCCTTGGATATCATGCCAACATTTTGTGGCAGAGAAAGAAATGTCTCATGTCAAAAAGAGACTGGTCAGCTCTGTGTCTAGGACTAGAGCACCTATGTGTGTTGTTGCCTGGGTGGTATTTATGTTTTGTTTTGCTCTTTGAGACAGGGTTTTTTGGTTTTTGTTTGTTTATTTATGTAGCTCTGGCTGTCCTGGAACTTGGTCTAGGTGAACCCAGAGAGATCCACCTGCTTCTACCTCATGTGTGCCTAGATTAAAGGTGTGTGCACTTCTCCCTGTCCTAGGGTGAGGATTTTGGACTCCATTTGTCTGTCTTGCCCCTAGGTGGTTCAGAAGCTGACACAGATGGTAGGGAAGAATGTGAAGCTCTATGACATGGTGCTGCAGTTCCTGCGTACACTGTTCCTACGAACCAGGAATGTGCACTATTGCACATTACGAGCTGAGCTGCTCATGTCCCTGCATGACTTGGACGTCAGTGACATCTGTACTGTGGATCCCTGCCATAAGGTAGTACTGCATGCCCACCCATGCACTTCTCCTGTGTCCTCTGAATTCATGAGTCCAGGAATGACTTGCTGACCACATCTAAGCTTGCTTCTCAGACTGCAAGCTTTGTGTCCCTCAGCCCCGCTGGGGGTGAACAGGTCCTGCAGAGACCTAGCTGTCCAGCTGCCTCTTGCTGGTCCTCCATCTTCCACTCTGTAGCTGTAAATGGTAGGCCCTATGGCCATCTTTCTGTTGGGCTTCTGGCTTCTTCTGCCCCAGAGCCCTCAGTGCCTCTTGTTGGCCAGCACCAAGGTAATCTAATCTAGGAATGGGGTTTTCTGCACCTCCCTCTATCCCCCACCAAGAGTACAGGAAATCTGAGACCACGCCCTGGGGACTGTGTGGTGTTGCTTATTGCTAAGCACTGAGAAACACCACAAAACTGCCATAATACATCCACCCAGCTGCCAGCCCTAGTTAGTTCCCTATCAGGGAAAACAAATATGCCTTCTCTATGTCTGTTCTGATCCTTGCTGCTTTGGGGCCTGGGGAGCCTCCTGCTCCCTGTAGGCCACTGGTCCCCCATGAAAGCTCACTGGTGTCTCAGTCCACGCCATGTTTCCTTCTGGACACTGGGAGATGAGTACTGTGTTTCTTTCTCTTTGTTAATACCTAGTGATTGAGAGACAAAAAAGTGATGGCCCTGACTGTCTGAGCCTGAAGACCTCTGCTGCCCAGACTTTGGCATGGCCCCCTTCTACTAATTGCCATTTTCTTTGTCCTCTCCAGGCCCCCATTCTACCCTGGGTTTAGCCTAAGGTGGGGTTATGGGCTTTGGCTTATGTTTATCTGGCCTTGCAATTCCCACAGCCGTTTGGACAGTGGCAGAGTTTGGCTGAGGGGTAAGAGTCTGGGTATTCCGAGATTGTATACTTCCTTCCTGTAGTTCACCTGGTGCCTGGATGCCTGTATCCGTGAGCGGTTTGTGGACAGCAAAAGAGCCCGAGAACTGCAGGGATTTCTTGATGGCGTGAAGAAGGGGCAGGAACAAGTTCTGGGGTGAGAGTCAGCTCTACGAGGGCTCTGGCCTTGGGATCTCAAAACAAGCATCCGGTGGGGCTTGCTGTCTGCTCTTGGTAGTTGGGGCCCATTCCTGTCTGTTAAGGGACAGTTATGCTGGGCACCAGGCCTACTGCTAACAGTACTAACTCATGGCTTGGAATGAGTCACAGTAGCAAAAGGATCCATACCTGAGAGGCATGGAGTTCCTGGGGGAGCCAGCATAGGGAGCTTAGACAGGAGGTGACTATTGTCTGTAGCAAGTTAGGGTGTGCTGTCTGAGCTGAAGGCTGGATTAGATGCTCCAGTCTGATTTCCAGCAACCTCTGTCTGTGTGAAGATGAACTTTTGCTGGTATGGCCCTGCCGTGTTTCTTTATTCTTCCACTGGCTAAACCTAGAATCTAAGCCACGGTTTTTGTTTTTCTTTTGAGATAACGTTTTTTGTGTAGGGATTCACTGTGTAGACCAAACACTTTGTAGCCTCTGCTTCTCCCTCCTGAGTGCTAGGATTAAAGGCATGTGCCACCACTATTTGCCTCTCAGTCAGGGTTTTTGAAACAAAGTATGAATTTATTTGGGGCGGGGCAGGGAATTTTCTTTTACTCTATAGTTTAGAAGATCTTTGACTAAGTTATGGATTATTTATGAATTCAATACTGAGAGGCTTGCCTTCTGGGGTCAGTCCTCAAGCCCTTGCATCCTAGTCTGTGGCTGTCCCTTTAGTGGGTCTGACACTGCAGCTATTAGAAACAGAATAGCCAGGCTTCTCAATTTATACCAAGGTTTGATTCCTTCCAGGGATTTGTCTATGATCCTGTGTGACCCCTTTGCCATCAACACACTGTCCCTGAGCACCATCAGGCACTTGCAGGAGCTGGTTAGCCAGGAGACACTGCCCAGGGTGAGCATAGACATGCTGGTGGCTGTGCAGAGGACATACTGTCCACTGGTGAAATTGGGTTTCACTCAGTGGGTGGGTATTGGGTCATGAGTGCCTTATGATCGCTCTCCTAGGGTCCTGGCCCCGGAAAGCAGAGGCCCTGCTCTGTTCAGTGAGACCAGAGGATGGCACAGTCCCTGTGAGCTCTTGCTGAGGCTTCTGTCTTATTTCAGGATAGCCCCGACCTCCTTCTTCTACTTAGGCTGCTGGCGCTGGGCCAAGGTGCATGGGACTTAATAGACAGCCAGGTCTTCAAGGAGCCCAAGATGGTATGGGGCCTAGTTTCCTACTTTTCTACTAATTATGGGGAGTGGCAGGGTGGGACCCTCTGGTAGCAGAACTTCTAGTCTTTAGGTGAACACCCATCAAGGATGCAGGGTGAGCTATTCTATGGGGACTGGAGCCCAGAAGGGGCTTTGCAGGTGCAGCCATGATTATGCCAAGTGAGAGGTTCAAGAACATAGCGCTGGCTGAGGGTGGTGGCCATGCCTTTAATCCCAGCTCTCAGGAGGCAGAGGCAGAAGCAGGCGGATCTCTGTGAGTTCGAGACCAGCCTGATTGATGTACAGAGTGAGTTCCAGGACAGCCTCCAAAGCTACACAGAGAAACCCTGTCTTGGGGGAAAAAAAAAAAGAACATAGCACTGGACATGAGTCTCAGGAAACAGGAGGGAGGGGTTCTGGGGACCAGTGTCCAGGAAAGATGGATTTGAGGGAAGTATATTGGGTGAGTAAGATGTGCACTGAGCAGAGTGGGTTAGGGTGTTTTGAGAGCAGCTGGGGTCAGTGGGACCTTAGTGGCCTCAGACACTCCTTCTGGCAGGAGGCAGAGCTCATCACCAAGTTCCTGCCAATGCTCATGTCCTTCGTCGTGGACGACTACACTTTCAACGTAGATCAGAAGCTTCCAGCTGAGGAGAAAGCCCCAGTCACGTACCCCAACACGCTTCCTGAAAGTTTCACCAAGTAGGACTCCGGGGCAGTGTTTGGGGGAGGGGCAGCAGAGTGGGCTGCAGGTGAAGGTGCTGCTGGGTGGTTTGATTGAAGGCTATGGCTTCTTGCATGCAGATTTCTGCAGGAGCAACGCATGGCTTGTGAGGTGGGACTGTACTACGTCCTGCACATCACCAAGCAGAGAAACAAGAATGCACTCCTGCGCCTGCTGCCTGGACTCGGTGAGTCCTGATGGCTATGCTTGCCTGCCGCCTGTGACCTGTGCTCCTGAATCCTGAGCTCTGTCACTGTCTTTCTGCCTTCACCCCCAACCTCCATAGCTTGATTTCCATCAGGAGGCACTCGATATGTGGATGTTTGTAGGCAGGGCTTAGCTCTGTTTCAGAGATGCTAGTGGGTCTTGTGATTTCCTGCAGAAGGGATTCATAGCCAGGCCTTGGTGGCATACTTAATCCAACACTTAGGAGGCAGAGGCTGGTAGATCTCTGTGAGTTAAAGGCCAGCCTGGTCTACATAACCAGCTGTCTCCTTCCAGGGTTATGTGGGTTCCGGGCAGTCGACTCAGGTCTCCAGGTTTGTGGTTGGTTGATTGGTTGGTTGGTTGGTTGGTTGGTTGGTTGGTTGGTTGTTGGTTTATTTATTTGCTCACTGAGCCATCTTGCCAGCCCTCTGTTTAGGTTGTCCAGGACAACCAAGGCCACATAGAGAGACCCTGCCTCAAAACAAAAATGAAACAAAAGACAACAAAAAAAAACCCTTTATTTTGTTCTAATTGGTAAAAAGCAGAACTCCTTGGGCCTCCTTTCTTTCCCCTAGCTGCCTGGGGGAAAAGGGAGTTCTGAGTGGGCTCTTCAGCAGTAAAGCCCTGGGATATAGTGTGGTTCAGTGATAAGAGCATTTACCTGGCATGAATAAGGTACTGGATTCTATCCCCAACAAAAACAAAAACAACCACCTAAAGCTACAGGCTTATTGGGAAGAGTTGCTGCAGTGGCATCCTTTGTCTTTGTGATGACGGGCTCTGGGCATTTGCGGACTCATCCTTTGTCTGGAGTTTAGAGGATTGAACATAAAGATGGAACTTCTTTTCTTTTCTGCCCCCACCCACATTTTTTTAAAGATAGAGTCTCACTGGCTGTCATGGAAGTCACTCTGTAGACTAGGCTGGCCATGAACTCAGAGATCCACCTGCCTCTGCACCCCTGCCTTAACCCTTCAGTGCTGGGCATCACCAGCCAGCTTCTTCTCTAAATGTATTTGTAAGTCACTGGTATACTTGTTTTCTGCTTGCTGTGTGCATATTGGTTTATGCAGCTTCCATCTCACTGGGTTTTCTTGGCCTGGTCTTTAGTTTTCTTTTCAACAAGTTACCACAAACTTAGCAGCTTGAAACAGCTTAGACTTAGACTGTTGTTCTAGAGTAAGGAAATTTGAAGTGAACCTTGCTAAGCTAAAATCGGGTTTGGCCAGACTCCTTTTATATAGTCGGTGCCCACTCGAGGTTTAGGGGCATCAGGACATCCTGCTGGTCAGAGTTAGCTTGCTTAAGATCGTAGGAACACATGGAGTAACTTTGATTTGCCTTGTCTATTCATTTCAGTCTGTTTGTTTCTGTCATCTGTTATGATACTAATAAACTGGCAGTGTGGCTTGTCCTTCCTAGCTGGGGGATGTCTACCTGTAATGCACCTGTGGTGCAGCATTCAGTCATGTTTAGAAAAATCTTACCACTGGAGAGATGGTTCAGTGGTTAAGAGCACTGGCTGCTCTTCCAGAGGACTCCCATTTAATTCCCCACATAGACATGGTGGCTCACAACTGTATGTAACTCCAGTTCTAGGGGATTCAGTATCCTCTTCTGGAGACACATCCATAATATACAAACATACATCAGGCAGAGCACATACACAAAATAAAATTAAAAACTCGCTTGATCTTATATTTGAATGAGTTCTAATAAGAGTAGAAGTCAGTTTTCTTGAATTCTGTTTTTGTTTTTAAAATATTTATTATTCTGTATGTGTAGCTGAGCATGCCACAGCTCATGTGTACAGGTCAGAGGAAACTTTGTGGAGTCAGCTCTCTCCTTCCACCTCCTGTGGGTTCCAGGAAATCAGCTCGGGGTTCCAAGCTTGTGTTGCCTTTACCCACTCATTTGTGTGTTTGTTTATTTTTGAAACAGGGTCTCTCTATGTAGTCCTAGCTGACCTGGAACCCATATAGATTAGGCTGGCCTTTGAACTCAGAAATCTGTCTGCCTCTGCCTCCCAAATACTGGGATTAAAGACATATGCCATCAGGCTGGAGAGATGGCTCAGAGGTTAAGAGCACTGACTGCTCTTCCAGAGGTCTTGAGTTCAATTTCCAGCAAACATATGGTGGCTCACAACCATCCATTATGAGATCTGGTGCCCTCTTCTGGTGTGCAAACATACATGGAGAACACTGTATACATAATAAATAAATAAAATCTTAAAAAAAAAAAAAAAAAAAAAAAGGACACTGGGCGTTGGCGGTGCATTCCTTTAATCCCAGAACTCGGAAGGCAGAGGCAGGCGGATCTCTGAGTTCAAGGCCAGCCTAGTCTCCAGATCGAGTGCCAGGACAGGCTCCAAAGCTACACAGGTAGCTCCAAAGCTACCCTGTCTCGAAAAACAAAAACAAACAACAAACAAACAAGACATATGCTATCACACCCAGCTCTCCGGGTGCTGATTAAAGGCTTGTGCTACCATGTTTGGCCCCAAATATGGACTAAACTGGTCATGTCTCTACCTGCCATCTGCTGACATTACAGGTGTATGCCACCATGCCCAGCCATATTAGGTACTTTGTATAGCTGTGATACCAACAGAAGCAACAGAAAAAACAAGACTTTTTTTTTAAAGAGTCTATTTTTTACTTTTGTTTGATTTTTGTTTTTGTTTTTTGAGGCAGGGTCTCAATAAATATTTCTGGGTGTCCTGGAGCTCACAATGTAGATAAGGTTGGCCTTGAGGTCACAGATCTGCCTGTCTCTACCTCCTGAGTGCTAGGACTAAAGGTGTATGCCATCAGTCCCCAGCTAAGACTTTATTTTTATTTTATGAGTGTTTTGCCTAAAGGAATATAAGTGTACCGGTGTGTGCAGTGATCACAGAGTCCAGAGAGGAATCAGGCCCCCTGGATCTGGAGTTAGAGGCTGCTGTGAGCCACATGTGGATGTTACTAATTGAATATGGGTCCTCCACAAGAGCACTGGTGCCTCTAACCCTAACCCAAGCCATCTCTAGTCCCAAAAGAATCATTTGGACTCAGTTTCAGAGAGTTTAGGTTCATATTGGTGGACAAGACATAGCAGAGCAGCTCAGTTCACAGCAGTGGGAGTATGCGGCAGAGGGTATTCATACCACAGCAAACCAGGAAGCAGAGTGTGATGAATCAGGACCAGGTGCGACCCTCAAATGCCTGCTCTTAGTGACCTGCTTCCACCAGCCAGGCAGTGGGGACCAAATGTTCAGAGCATGAGCCTGACCAGAGTCAGACCAGAGCACTTGTCTTAACAGCTTAGTAGGCATCCTGCCTGGAAAAAAAAAAAAAAAAAAAAGAAAGATGATTTTAAGAACTCAGACCAGGGCCTCCTCTGAACAAACCTGCTGTGAGCTTTGTGTCACTGGATGGATGACGGCCGAGTTCCTGTGTCTCAGCTATGTTGTAAGGGCTCGAGTCAGGATTTCACAGTGCATGACTGCTTGCCTTTCAAGTGTCATGGTTATTTGAAGGTGGGAAAAAAACAAGCATCTCAGCCTCTTGCTGTGGAAATCATACACATGGCCAGGCAGGACATGAAGTGGCTGAGATTCATCAAATCTGTTTTCAGTAGTGTTCCCAGAACAGCTGAGTCTCCCTGAAAAGTGTTCCAGCTTTTCCATAGGTTCAAGTGGTATCAGCTGGCTCTGCCATCAAAACACCTGCTCCCAACTGTCAGGAATGGTGATGGATCCCAAGGTTGTATACACTGGGTCCATCCTTCCTTAGGCAAGGCAAGACTGTGGGATCCTGTCATCTCTTGTTGAGTGACTGCTGTCTGGGCATCACTCTGCGGTCTGTCTCTAGCAGTCCTGCTTGTGGTAGCATTGCTCTTCATGTCAGTGGTTGTGAGCAAGTGCAATTGCTTGGCCATCTGCCCTGTTTCGGTGTCTTCCAACAGGGGGTGTGGCAGTGTCTCTCTGTGTTCTTTTTTTTTGTTTGTTTTTTGTTTTGTTTTGTTGTTGTGTTGTTGTTTTCAAGACAGGGTTTCTTTGTATTGTTTTGGAGGTTGTCCTGGAACTCACTCTGTAGACCAGGCTGGCCTTGAACTCACAGAGATCCGCCTGCCTCTGCTCCCAAGAGCTAGGATTAAAGATATGTGCCACCAACACCCAGCTTCTCTCTGTGTCCTTAACTGAGGAGTCATTGGGAGGGTTTGGCAGACTCCCCTCTGGGCTGTACTTCTATGCTGCTTGCATATCTCTGGTTGTTTGTCTGTAGGCTTTCGGTGGAGGTCAGTTCAGACCACAGCATCTTTCCTTCCCCACACTCCAGCTGTGGTTTTGCTTCTCTACTGAGAGCCACAGACCACCTGGTCAACTCTCTCTCCTCACCTGAGTCCTGTTCAGACCTTGGAACACTGGAGAGTGTCTGAGGGCAGAGGCCGAGCCACCCTCTTGTGTTTACAGTGGAAACTTTTGGTGACCTGGCCTTCAGTGACATCTTTCTCCACTTGCTCACTGGGAGCCTGGCACTTCTGGCTGATGAATTTGCCCTGGAGGATTTCTGCAGCAGCCTCTTTGATGGCTTCTTCCTCACTGCCTCTCCCAGGTAGGACACACAGCCCACTGGACCTTCATTTCTTGTTGGTTTTGTGCTGGACAGTATGGGAGGGCCATTGAGGCCCCATCCTGCTGAAGGACCACAGATGGGTCTTTGAGCACTGGGATCTGTACTAGAATGAGTAATTCCTGGGTGTAGCTTGGGATGTCCTGGTCCTCTAGGTGGGGTGGGAGGAGCTGAAGGCACATGCCAGCCCTCTGTGGGCTGTGCCTAGAGAGAAGTCTGGGCACAGAAGTCGCTGTTATGGCCCCTTCAGCCTCACGGATATCTTCCAGGAAGGAAAATGTGCATCGACATGTGCTGAGGCTCCTCCTGCACTTGCACCCGAGAGTGGCCCCTTCCAAGCTAGAGGCTTTGCAGAAGGCTCTGGAGCCCACAGGCCAGGTAGGTGTCCTCAATTCCCAGTTTTAATAGAGCACCGCTCTGCATGGGCCTGGCTGCTCCAGCTGTGGCATGCATGTCCTTGGTGCTTACCTTCTCTTTTGTTTTGTTTGTGTTTTTCAAGACTGGGTTTCTCTGTGTAGCCCTGCCTGTCCTGGAACTCACTCTGTAGCTTCTAATTCACAGAGATCTGCCTGCCTCTGCCTTCCGAGTGCTGGGCTTAAAGATGGAGGCCACCACTGCCTGGCCTACTTTCATGTTCTTAATGGTTGATGTTGTCTGTGGGTTCACTCCTCCAAGTAGGCTCAGACCACCTTTCCTATTGATGCCTATCTTTTTTTTTTTTTTTTTTTTTAATGTGCATTGGTGTTTTGCCATGGGTGTCAGGTCCTCTGAAATTAGAGTTACAGACAATTGTTATGTGGGTTCTGGGAATTAAACCCAGGACCTCTGGAAGAGCACTAAGTGCTCTTAACCTCTGATCCATCTCTTCAGCCTCCTTGTAAGCCTGTCTTAGTTAGGGTCTCTAGTGCTGTGAAGAGACACCATGACCACAGCAACTCTTATAAAGGAAAACATTTAATTGGGGTGGCTTACAGTTCAGAAGCTCAGTCCATTATCATCATGGTGCTGCAGAAGTAGCTGAGTACCCTACATCTTGACTTGCAGGCAACAGGAAGTAGTCTTACTGGGTATGGCTTGAGCACATATGAGACCTCAAAGCCCATCCACACAGTGACACACCTACTCCAACAAAGCCACACCTCCTAATAGTGCCACTCCCTTTTGGGTCCATTTTCTTTCAAACCACCACAATGCCTGTGTCTGGTTTTCTCACAGAGTGGGGAGGCCGTGAAGGAGCTCTACTCCCAGCTTGGTGAGAAGTTGGAGCAGTTGGACCATCGAAAGCCCAGTCCTACCCAAGCTGCAGAGACGCCAGCCCTGGAGCTGCCTCTTCCCAATGTGCCTGCTCCAGCTCCACTGTGAGGCTCTATGGAACTGTTTAGTGGTAGTGCCCCTATGGAAGGAGGCCTAGTCGGCTAGGAGTGCAGGGCGTGCTGAGGGTTGTTCCTTGGCAAGGTATTCTCTCCTCTAAGTTGTTCCTCTAGGTCCTCAGTGTCTACTCACACATCAAGGGGAGACCATGATGGTACGGTGGGGCTTGACCCCTGCTTGACCCTGGTGGAGATGGATGGTGGTTGGTATTAAGAAAAAGCCACTTAATTTCCCAAGAGCAGTGGGTAGAAGCCTGACTGACCTGATAGTCAGTCTGAACAAAGCCCAAGGAGAAAGGTATACTGGGTTTGCCAAAGCAGATTTGCTGGGCCTGTTATCCTAAGCACAGGAGTGGTGTCCTCCACAGAAGCCAGTTGGAAAGTCTGCAGAGGCCTGAGCCCACTTCTGTCAGCGCAGTCCTTGCTGACTGAGATCTGCAGACAGAGCCCTTCCTGCAGCTCCCCACCTCAGTGTATGTACCTTTTTTTTTTTTTTTTTTTTTTTTTTTTTTTTTTTTTGGTTTTTAGAGACAGGGTTTTACTGTGGCTTTGGAGGCTGTCCTGGCACTCACTCTGTAGCCCAGTCTGGTCTCAAACTCACAGAGATCCACCTGCCTCTGCCTCCTGAATGCTGGGATTAAAGGCGTTCTCCACCAACGCCCAGACAGTGTATGTACCTTTGTAACAGAAAGCAAATTCTTGCCCAGCTACATGTTTTGGCCCTTGAATAGGGGACTATGGGTGTATACACTGAAGTTTCCACTTATGTAAATAAAACACATTTTGATAAATCCATGGTGAGAAGATTATGTTTGTCCTGGGGCTGAGAGCAAGGGTGGGTGTATGATTCTTTTGTTCTTTCTTTCTTTTTTTTCCAAGACAGAGTTTCTCTGTGTAATAGCTCTGACTGTTCTGGAACTTGCTTTGTAGACCAGGCTGGCCTTGAACTCACAGATATCAGCCTGCTTAGGACTAAAGGGGTCAATGTTTTGGCCTCTGTGCCTGCTCTGAGTGACCTGGTTTAGGGCCTAGCTTCTGGAAGATCTTGGGGCCTCTCAGCTCTGTGCCTTGATCTCTGTTCCAATATCTAGGTGTGCAATCTTTCACTCCTTTTAGAGTGAGGGATAGGAATTGCTAGGAGGACCAAATATGAGCCCTAGGTCATAAGTGATTCTGAACATCACACTTTGCAGCCATATGGCAGCTTAGTTATCCCTTGGATGGCTAGGGAAAGTCCAGCTGGGCACTGGGCATAACTGTTCCCTTCAGGACATGAAACACCAGATGATGAGCGGGGCAGCTAGCTGAGGCATAATGAAAGCCCCCTGGCTGTGATGGGGTCAGGCAGTTGTGGGTGTTGCAGGGCCCTCAAGTCTATACCTGGCTTTTCCCAGTTGTGGATGAATGGTATGTTCCCTGGTTGCGTCTGGCTATTTGTCACTGGGTGGGGGAGGGGGATGCAGTCCAGGATATCCCTGAAGCTGAGGGAAGTGGGGTGGGATTGTATCAGTTCAGTTTTCTGTTGTAACACTATAGGCTAGATGAGTTATAAAGAAAGTGTGTTTATTTTGGCTCAAGGACCTGGTCCAAAGTTCAGAGTGTATTTGCTGACAGCCATCCTTCCAGCAAAGGCCTGAGGCAAAGGGTACATCATAGTGGTGATGGTGTGTGTGTGTGTGTGTGTGTGTGTGTGTGTGTGTTCGTTCTCTTTAAAGCCATGGGACTGACTGGGGGTGCCGATCCCATAACTCATTTGATCCAAACACCACCCATCTTGGAGGTACACCACAGTTGATTGAATTTTCAGCCTTCTGATTGGGGGCCTGGGGGAGGCTTCAACAGATGACACCACAGCCACATCACTGTGGGACCACAGGAACACTGCTAAGTTTCCAGCTGAGGAGAGGTCATAAGATTTCTCCACGGATGCCTGGCTGTCCTAGAAAGGGAAGGGGCTTGATGGGTGTAGAGGGTCTGGGTTGGAGCTGGTAAGGTTGGACTTTACAGTTGGTTGGACAAGGAAGTGGGCAATGGGGCTTGGGGACTTTGTGTCTATAAAGACCTTATCCCTGTAAAGGTTAACTCTGGGACATGAGTTTCCTGAATGTGCCACTTCTCTTTAGCAGGTCATATCCTTACCCCAGAATGGGACAGGACCCCAGAAAGTTTGACAGATCAGCCTCTTGCAAAAGGGACTGGCCAACACTGGGCCCATTTGGAGATTATTCTGTCTCTTTCCTTCAGGGCCTGGTCAGATGCTTCAGGGCCAGGATCCTTCTTGGGTCAGGAAAGTTTTATAGACAAGAGAGTGGAGGTTTATAAGAGCCCCTCCCCCCCAGGGCCTGGTCAGTCAGAAGTCTACAAGGATATTTCACCTGGTTCCAGGCTGGCCAAGGAAACAGCCATCTCCTTTTGAGAATGGGAGGAGTCTGGGGCCATCCAGGCAGGCCACTTCCTGCAGAAATGGGCACGGATATGGGCAGGGCCCCAGGCAAGCAGGGTGCCATGAAAAGTCTTCCAATTCTTGGCCCAAGGACATTTCTAAATGTGCTCCTCCCTCTTCAAAAGGTCCCTGACCCTAGATCTCAAACTTCTGTCTCTTGTGTCTTGTCTTAGAAGTTCAGCTGAATGGGTAAAGGGATGGTGGTGAGGTGGTAGCGTGGGGAAAGACAGGAAGCAGAGAGGAAAACGACCTGCTTTCTGCTTGTTTACAGTGAGCTGAGAGCCTCCGTAGGATCCCTTAGTTTTGCTGGGTCCGAGGAAAGGACTATCCTAGCAGAAGCAGGGTCAGTAAGGAGCAGACTGAGCTTTCAAGAGTTCAGGGGACCTACCGGAAGAACTGCTGGAAGGGCCTCCCTCCCTATGTTCCCTGGCAGAGACACAAGGACTGAGTGTGGGTGAACTGCAGATTAGGGGTTCTAGACGGGTCAGCCAGGCCTCCCCCACCCGCTCATCCATTCAGCCCAAGCTCCGCCTGCCAGCACCCCTGACTCACTTCCTTTGCATCTCAGCGGAAACCTCCCCAGAGCTTCCTCTGCTTCGGTCCCTGGGGACCTGGCAGGAGTCACGGCCCCCTTCGAGCCTGAGCTGAGTCAGGCGGACCCTGACCCACCCACCTCACCTTTTGTGGGGAAGACTAACATTTCCTGCTTCCTGGCCTTGGAAGGGAGTGGCTGAGCTGGGGAGTCTGAGCAGCAGCAGGTAGGGGATGAGATGGAGAGGTTCAGGTCAGCCTCATAGTCAGGGCTCTAACCTTTCCCCTTTGTTCATTTTTCTGCTCTGTTGTGTCCACTGGGAGGATGTTGAGGGACCCCAGATTTGGGCATTGGTAGAGGTTAGGGATGGGAGTGGGGTTGAAAGGCCTAGGTTGTGACTGGGGGCAGTGCTAGGGTCCATTCCCCCAAACATGGAAGTTTGGTTTGCACATACCTTTTCACCAACTGTCCCTGAGTATGGGGGCAGTCTCAGCTCTTAGGGGTACTGAGTCCTCTGGTCCAAGGGGCCTACTTGGGACCTGTAAGGCCTCTGACAGTTCCATAGGTGCTGGGGGGGTGGTGGTGTGCGAGTTCCAGTTTGACCGTTCTTCACCCCTAATCGGTGACGGTGTGACCCCGAATCCTCCGCTTCTTCCTCCAAGAGGGAAGTCAGCAGCCTGATAAATTATACAACACCCCTACCCCACCCCCTCACTTCCTCAAGGCCTGTGCCTTTTCTGGGAGGACTCTAGAGATTTGCATGCATTGGGGCCCTCCTGCTGAGCAGCGGCTTCCTGGTCAGTGGGGCGAGGCGAGGCGAGGCGAGGCGGAGCCAGTATTTGGCCGTGAAGTACCTTAAGCGACACCCAGAGGCTAAGATCAGGGACTCAGGAGGTCCTCCAATTTTCCTATTGCAGGGAGGGGGACCTGCATGCCCAGTACAGCTCCTACACCATGGATCGCGGCCAACCTAGCCTAGAGCCCCAGGCTAAGGGCCCAAGCATGATCGCGCCGGTGCGCGCAGTGCTCCGTCTGCGCCGCCGCGTCTGCGTCCTGCGCAAGAGGCGCCTCTTGCAGCTAGGCACGGAACCGGACGCTGGGACAGGGGTACTCGGGTCCAGCGGCAGCTCCAGGATTCTGCGTGCCGACCTAGACCAGCCTAAATTCTTCACGTTCGACAGCCTGACAGAGTTGTCTTCCAGGACACCACGCAAGAGACGTAGGCGTAGTCGGGTAGTGCTCTACCCCGAAACCTCGCGAAAGTACCGACCCCGCACAGAGCGCCAGAGCCGTGCACAGCGTTGTCTGTTGCTGCTTGTAGCCATCGTGGGGTTCCAGGTTCTTAACGCCATTGAGAATCTGGACGATAATGCACAACGTTATGACCTTGACGGGCTGGAGAAGGCGCTGCGGCGTTCTGTGTTTGGCCAGCCAGCTGCTGTGGGCCGCATTATGGCCCTGCTGCGGGACTACCTGGCTACACACGTGCACAGTCATCCCTTGCTCCTGGCTCTGCATGGGCCTAGTGGTGTAGGCAAGAGTCATGTGGGGCGCCTGCTGGCACGACACTTCCACGATGTGCTGGAGGATGGCGCGTTGGTGCTGCAGTACCATGCACGGCATCACTGTCCAGAGCAGCGCCCGGTTCAGGAATGCCGGAAGGAGCTGGCACAGCGTGTGGCAGATGTGGTGGCCCAGGCTGAGGCCGAGGAGAAGACCCCTCTCTTGGTCCTGGATGAGGCTGAACTCCTGCCACCTGCGTTGCTAGATGAGCTGCACGGTCTCCTGCAGCCACAGCGCTCGCACCACCTCCACAACGCTATCTATGTACTCCTAAGTGGCGTTGGTGGTCTAGAGATCACACACTTTGTGCTACAGAACGCGTCACGTATGTTGCCCCCACACCGTCACAGTGCAGGCAGCACTCTGACTGAGGTGTCCCAGGCTGAGGAGGAGTTACATAGCAGCCTTCGAGAGCTCCTGGCCCGAGAGCACCCTTTGTGGCACTCGGCAGCCATCGTGCCCTTCCTGCTATTAGACAAGCCAGATGTGGTCAACTGCTTCCGAGAGGAGATGGCAGGGGAGGGCTTTTTCCCTGAGCAGGAGCTGGCAGAGCATCTGGCAGAGCAGCTCAGCTACTACCATGTTGCTGGACATGAATTTGCCATCACTGGCTGCAAGCAGGTAGTAGCTAAGGTCAACCTTTTGCAGCAGAAACCTGCTCATGCTGGACACTAGCCAGTGGTCCCAGGCATTTGAGCTGTTGAAGAGCACAGGAAGCATGTCAGGTGATCTGTGGCCCCCAAGCTGGTTCACTCCAGGGAGGATGAACCTTGCAGCAGAAACCTGCTCATGCTGGACACTAGCCAGTGGCCCCAGGCATTCGAGCTGTTGAAGAGCACAGGAAGCGTGTCAGGTGATCTGTGGCCCCCAAGCTGGTTCACTCCAGGGAGGATGAACTTTGAGCTCCCTCCCCACTTCCTCTCCCACCTCTGAGCCTTGAGATTCCCTAGGGTCACCAGGGAAGCAGCCACCTTCCTATCGGTCTGTAGTCTAGTCCCCCTCCTCAGCTCCCACTGTGTCCATCATGTCCCAGAACATGTGATAGGGCCTCCCACAACCCCAGGAGGTGGATGTGTGCACTCATGGTACAGATTATCTCAGGGTGAGTAGCTGTAGTGAGAACTTGGCCATGTTGGAACGTGCGTTAGTTCCCGTGCTTCTCACAAACACCCAGTGACCCCTTGGATGCCTCCTCAGCTTAGAGGCCACAAGGTAGGGAACGCTTCTCTAGGCCCTCCTGAGATGGCAGTGGGTGGACAGAGGTCTACAAGCCAGTGAGTAGCTCTACTGGAACTCTCAAGTGTCATGGAGCATGGACTTGGCTGAATGTGGACCTAAGTGGAGAACCAACCTCTTGAGACTCCGGCTACCTGTTTGCTCCAGTGACAGACATGCAGAGTGTGACTTTGGAACCGGCCGCAAGGTTCAGGGTCCTGCTCACCAGGAGAGGTTAGAGAGGAGGAACCTGTCCAGAGGAGTGATGGATCTATCCCCACCCACCCCTAGGGAGACCTGCTGGGAAACCAGCCGAGCTCAGGTTTCCCTAGAAACCGTCACTAGAGTCTTGTCCTAGTGCTGAGGGACTCACTCCTTCCACTGCCACCTGCTCTGGAGTGACAGCACTTGAGTCCACAGCAAATAATGGCAGCAGCGAAAGTGCACTGGGCCTTGAGGCTTCTGTTTGCAGGAAGCACCAGGCATGCATGAGGCCCAGTGAGGTGGAGTGGGGAACAGCTCAGGCTCTTGGCTGGACCCACGGGATGACCAAAGGAGTCAAGGCCTCTACCTGCCTGTGCTGGGCTGGATGTGGAGACCTCTTGTCCTTGACAGTGCAACTGTCTGGTTACTGTTCCCCAGCCCTCTCAATTCCATCTGCACATGCTCAAGAGCAAGGTGCTGTGGAATTTTCTTGGTATGAGGCTCCTTAGTGCTCTGGCAACTTCTGTGCTGCCTCCTGGTGGCTGCACCCAGTCCTTGCCTGCAAATGATCACCATTGTGGGTTAGAAAGGGGCACATCCAAAAGTGGGGCCTGAGAATACAGCAAGGGATGACTCCAGAGGAGGTTAGAGAGGAGAAGCCCCTCCAGAGAGGTGATGTGTCCTCCCCACCCTGAGGGGACCTGCTGGGAAACCACCCGAACTTAGGTTTCCCTAGATCACCAGCCAGCTCCCTGAGCAGGCCCTGCACATTTTGAGCCCCTCCAGAGAGGTGATGTTTCCTCCCCACCCTGAGGGGACCTGCTGGGAAACCACCCGAACTCAGGTTTCCCTAGATCACCAGCCAGCTCCCTGAGCAGGCCCTGCACATTTTTCATTGTCTCCGGTTCAGCTTGCTCCAGCTGTGGTCTGAGGACCTGTGTGATGGAGCTACTGGAAGAGGGACTCTGCAGATGGACACCCCCACCTGCCTCGCTCTGCACACAGATCTTATGCCTGGGAGGTGACCTCAGGGATCCTTCTTGCTCTAAGGTCTCCCTGAGGTTGAAAGGTTGGGCCAGGGTTGCAATGGGATGCAGAGGGTAGATCTGGGAATTCAATAGGTTCACCACCCACCTTAGTCCACCTGCTGAGCCACAGGGAAGGTAGAGGCTCTTGCTCTACCTTCAGGCCTTCGTGTTGCTTCAGGGGTTTGTGTGCAAGACCTGCTGAGTGGGCGTGCTGGGCACTCCTTGCAAGATGATGCTGGGATCCTCAGCACTCCCCCAAAAGGCCCCCAGGATTGTCACCTGAAAACCCACCTGGAAGTGTCTCTTACCCAGCCAAGTGTTGCTTATATTCACTCAGTTAAACATTGCAGAGCATCGATTTAGTGAAGATTCAAACCCATGCAAGTTTTCTTTTTATTTATTTATAAAACAACACATTTATAAAATAACTGTGTCGAGGCCAGTTTCTGGTCTTAAGAGTCCTGTACTCCCAACTCTGAGCAGCTTGTATCATGCTTGTAAATAAACTGCAGCTCAATTTAAGAGTTAACTGTCTTCTTTTAGCTTTCTGGTTGCTTCACCTATGGATTGAAAGACATACTGGAACCTGTCCATGGTAAATTCACCAGCTTCTCTCTCTAAGCCTCTATTTGTAATTCCTAGGCTTGGAGATGGGCATGGTGGCACACACCTTTAATCCCAGTACTCAGCAGGCAGAGGCAGGCAGATCTCTGAGTTCAAGGCCTGCCTGTTTACAGATCGAGTTCCAGGACAGCCACGGCTACACAGAGAAACCCTGTCTCAAAATCCCCCAAGCCTCCCCCACAAATGATAATTCTTGTTTTCAGCCAGGTTTTCACACTTGTAGGCCAGGCTTACCTTGAACTTGTGAGCCTCCTAAATGTTGGAATTACACTTATGTTCCACCATGCTGGTTAAATGATTGTCTTATTTTTCAATAATTGAGAAGTTCTGAAGAGGGAAGTGTAATAGGAAGCTGAGCTTCATAGTGCAGCCAGCAGAGACTGTGCAGGAAGTCCATAAATAACTAGTTTTTAATGCTTTTATTTTTTTGAGACAGACTTGCTATGAGAACTTAATAACCTAGAACTCGCATTCCTTCTTGTGTTTTCTCTTTTCGTTTTGTGTTTGAGACAGGATCTTGCTATGCAGCCCAGGCTTGCCTTGAGCTCTTTGTAACCCAGACTGGCCTCAAGCTCTCAATTTGCATCAATCTTCCTGTGATCCACAAGCAGGAAGCAGAGAGAATTAGCTCCAAGTGACCTCAGGCTTTTTGAAACCTCAAAGCCCTGGTGACACACCTTCAGCGAGGTCACATCTAATCCTTCCCAAATAGTTAGACCAACTGGGGACCAGTAGTCAAATGTATGAGCCTATGGGGGGCATTCCCATTTAAACTTCTAGCACAGCCAACCTGGAGATGAAAGTTGGAGGAGGAAATAGTTTTATTCAACTCCAGGTCTGGGAAAGCGGAGTAAGTATAGCCATCACAAAGGAAAAAAAATTCCCGTCTTCCAAAATGGAAAGGTCTCAAGAGTGTTGGTGGATGTGATGGGTGGACACCTGGGCTTGGTGCTGTCCCCAGCAGCCCTCTGGCAGTATTCACCAGATGCCCTCTGACTCACAGATTCTCTTCGTTCTAACCAGCTTTCTGCATCTTCTAATAAGACATCTCTGAACTCCTTGAACTCTGGGGCAGCCTCTTACCCTCTCGTAGCCTTCCTATAACCTGTATTGGTACACAGATATAATAACTACCATGTGATGTATAGTGTGTGATCTGAGATTAATATTGGTCATTAAGACTGACACAAAAGCCGGGCGTTTGTGGCACATGCGTTTAATCCCAGCACTCGGGAGGCAAAGGCAGGCGGATCTCTGTGAGTTCCAGGCCAGCCTGATCTACAGAGCAAGTTCTAGGGACAAGCTCCAAAACTACAAAACCAAGGGAGCAGGGGAGACTGGAACAGAAAACCTGTGTTTGTCAATGGCCAACTGTCAAGGGAAATCAGGACTACTTGGCCAATTGCAGCTATAGCAACTGACCTAGTTTATGAGTTTATTTTTATCCAATAAACTGACATTGTAGAAAGGCACAAATGTGCCGGTGTTTCTGACAGCATGCTCATAGCAACAGGAGAGCTATAGATGAGACAAAAAAGATGGAGGCGGAGTTAGCAAGGCTTTGATGAGGCCGGTCACGGGGAGGCTATTTCTTTCTGGCAAAACATTAGCATTTTTGTAAAATAATTCTAAAAGTTTATTATTATCATTTCATATATATGGGTGTTTTGCCTGGATATGTCTGTGCACTACATGTATGTCTGGTGCATGGGGATGCCAGAAATCAGATTCTCAGGAACTGGAGTTATAGATGGGTGTGAGCCTCCATGTAGGTACTAGGAATTAAACTCTGGTCCTCTATAGCAGAAGCTAGTGTTTTTAACCTCTGAGCCATCTCTCCAACCCTCCCCCCCTTTTTTTGAGACAGAGTTTCTCTGTGTAATAGCTCTGACTATCCTGGAACTCACTTTGTAGGGCAGATTGGCCTTGAATTCATAGAGCTCCTCCAGCCTCTCCCAAGTGCTTGGGTTAAAGGTACCACCACCATCCAGCTCAATTCCTATTCTTTAAAAGATCATTTTAAATTATACTTATATGAGTGTCGGTGTCCACAGAGTCCAGAAGGGGGTGTTGGATCTCTTGGAGCTGGAATTACAGGCCCTGTGAATGGCCAGACATGGATGCTGGGAATTGAACCAGGGTGCATTACAAGATCAGTACTTGCTCTTAGTCTTGAAGTCATCTCTCCATCTCCTAAAATCATTATTTTATTTTATTTTTTTAACTTTTGAAAATACTGCTTGAGTTAGGTGGTAGTGCATACCTTTAATCCCAGAACTCAGGAGGCAGGGGCAGGCAGATCTCTGTGAGTTCAAGGCCAGCTTGGTCTACAGAGTGAGGTCCAGGGCAGCCAGGGCTGTTATACAGAGAAACCTGATCTCAAAAAAAAAGTATTTAATTAGCTTATGGTTTCAGAGGTTTTAGAGTTTATAATGGTAGCAGGTAGCAGACAGCACCTAGTGCTAGCCACCACTGGGCCCACGGGATCTTGCCCACATGGCTCCCTGCCAAGGCCCCAGGCTCTAGACCCAGAGGTACCTTCTAACCTATCCTGAAGATCATTTTGAGTGTCCTCTAAGCCATTAGAAGTGAGGTCCTTGCATGCAGGGCTACAGTTGTGTTCTGCTAACCATCGTTGAAGTCTTGGGCCTTGGAATATCCTCTTTTTTCCATTTGCTCAAGGCAGTACATCATCAGGTCAACAGTTTGGTGAGGGGTCAACACTCAAGGTTTGTTTGGGTATTCTAGGGACTGCAGGAATGGTCCAGGGGTCCCAGCTGGGTAGTTGGCCTCAATCAAGCAGTGGTACATCCTGGACTGGTTTCCCACCAAGTGTTCCACCTTCTGATCCATTTGCTTACCTGAGCATCCCACAAAGGATCAGTCTTCCAACCAGCACCTATTGCAAGGCCTGCTGTGCATTTTCTCCCTGGTCTTTCCCTATTTCTTTCTCTCCATCTATCCTGCCCGTCATACACTAAATCCATCTCCCATTGCTAATTGCTGTAGCTCAAGCTGCCTAGTTAGTTGGCCTGTCTGGTTCTAGTGTCATAGTTCCTGAGAACTTGCCCTCTGTCCCAGAACCTGCCTCATCTGGCTCCCACCCCTGGGGCGTGCCTCAGCTGCTCAGGCCTCTCTGATCTGTGCCATGACAGCTCTTGCTCCTTCGTAACCTAAGCACTTCACCCAACCTTTTCTGCCTGTCTCCTCTGGATGGAGGTTGGTAACAAGGTGCTCTTGG